GTCTACACATTTTTATACGTCACGTTATCTTAACTTGAACTATTCACGACGTCTTGAATGGACAATATATTAACCAACACATTAACGCTGCGCATTACACTAACGCAGATCACTTAAACTGGGTCACATTGTGGAGAAACACAAACCAAACGTCGTTAGATTAACGTCGATTAAATTCACCTTTTTATTGGGCTTTGACTGAACACCTCCAACGGCTAACCCCGGGTTGACACAGGTTATCAGCCCAGCGTCGGCCAGGTAACGTTAGCATAGCAATCCTTAAGTTATCAGCTAACGCTAGCACTAGCGCTAGCTTGGTTAGCAAGGTGCATCTTCACCTGAACTGTGATATTAACAGGGATGCTAATTTTGGCTAGCAAAGAAACGGGATCCAAACAAAATGTACTTACTTGGAAAAAAATGAACCGCTGACTCCTTCAGAACAAACTGAACACAGAACAAGACATTTACAGGCAAACAACATGGTATTGGCGCTAAACGTCTAACTAGCTAACTGAAAACACAATGACAAGTCAATACTGTCTGAAACGTCGCTATGACGTCATATCCGGATTAACAGGCAGGTCCCTCCGTGCAGTCAATGACGCGTAGCCACGCCCTAAAAGCCACTTGCTTTAACGTCTATTTTTTCTATTAAATAGACCATAATTTAAAAAAATGAACATCATGTTGTATTGATGAAAACTTCAAAACTCGAGATTCAGCATCCATAAACACATAACGAATCAAATTTGAAAAATACGTGTTGAGTGGATGAGGCTGCTGCTGGGTGTCTGTACTCTCGCACTGCTACTTGGTCTTCTGTTTCACTGGATCATTTTATATCTGCAATAAATCTTATTTTGAGCAGATTTGATTGTAGGGTTTTAATTGGAGAACTGGAATATTAGGACAAGGTCGGACGGAATCTTGTTCGTTCACCTAAGAGAAGTTAAGTGAATTTATATCCTGCAAAAATATCAGGTAAGAAAACATTTACTCTATTGTTTTTGTGAGAGTTTTGTTGTTCGTGTCGTTTATTTCGCATTAAATAATGCCATAGACGGATAAACAAAAATGTCCATTAAGTATGTATGTATTGTATGATATTGTAAAGTTGCATCTGAATATATTAAATAAAAGTGTTATAAATTAATAGTGGTGCGCGTATGTTATTTGTAATTAAGTTTCCAACCCCACTTTAGTTGAAAGACTACATACAGAGAGTTAACATTTAATTGCAATGTCTTCGAGTATATTATATTTTATGAGAAATGTAAGAAAATTGATCTTGAATCATTAAATATTGTATTTAGATTGTACTTATTACAGGTTTTTAACATTAACTTTACAAACTTAAAGATTCAATGTTGACACAAATACTGCAACAGTTGAAGTTTGAGATGATTTTAATCTCTTTACACAGTATTTTTACTTTGTCTTCTAAAACAAAAGGTTTACTTTAACAAATTAAGCATGTGTTAATATTTCATTGTATGACACTTAATTTTATTATTAGGAAAAAGTTTTTCTCTGTTAGACGACTTTTTGTGGCATCACTTTAGTGATGGCGTTTTGAATTCATAATAATTTAGGAAAAAATCCTGAAAACCGTGAGTGGATTCACTTATTAAAGGATGTTAATCCCAGATCATTACATAAATATGATTTTTTCATGAACGTCTGGTGTGTGTTGTTTGACGTCTAGTGTCGACTCATAATTGAACCTTGCAAAAGGCCATCTCGCTATAAGGACTCCCACATTGAACTTTGTGCCCTAAAGTCCAGCTGCAGAATTCGTTCAAAACAGAGTTGTGGGAAAATTGCAGTAAAAAATGATTTTCTTAACATTTTTTCATGCAGACATAGCGAGATTGTTTATGTAGATTTGTGCTGTGTTGTTGTTGGTAGATACTCGGTTAAAACCAGAAAGTGTCATAGAAGAGACCACTTGACCTTATGAAACAGATTGGGTTGTGCAGCTTTGGTGATGTATAGAATAGTTGAGGGCTGGTTGTGGTTGGTGATCTAACCAGTGAGGTGTTGTGAGCTGGCTTGCCACCAGTTAGCGAGGTTGCTAAACAGGCAGTAAGTCCAAGTCTCCCTCCACAGAATGATGCATGTGCAGAGTTTGTTTTCACATTTATATACTGATTAAAAGGATAAAGTTCCTGTTCATCTCAGTCTAACAGCAGATTTTTGTATGATTGCAGTTGAATGGAGCCAATCATGGTCCAGGAATGCACCTTACACCAAGAGTGAAGTTGGAAACCTGGAAACATCAGCTCACTAAAAACACTGAGAAATGGACTCTTCAGTAAAGGAGTCACCTGGTGTCCAGCTTGTTTATTAATGGGACTATAGATTCTGTAAGCTGAAACCTCATCAGACACAACATTAATATTCAAAGCAGTTTGTTAAAAGTGTTAATACATGTTGGATGAGATCTACAACTGTTTATTCAAAAGATGTAGGTACCATCAGCTAATAGCTTGTTGTGTGCGTTGGGTTAATTTATGTATCTAAAATTTAATGGTGCTTAATATTTGATAATATTTATTTATTTGGCCTATGTGGCTTTTACGAGTTCCCTCATAAGTCATCACATACAATTCCAAACCGCCTTACGACAGCGCAGTGATACAGATCTGAGTTGTCACCCCACTGAATGCAGCCCTCCACCTCCATTGAAGCAAATCTTCATTAAATTAAATGTCGTGCTTCCATTGAAATGAACTGATTTGAGGCCTTCACACTGATCCAACTATGGAGATAAAAAGAGGACATGTAAACAGGCTGTTTGTCAGTTTAATCAGGAAAAAGATTTGGTGAGAAAAAGAAAAGAGCAGCACTTCTCCCTCCGTCATTACCACCTTCCACTGCTGAGCTCCCTCGAGCACTTGTGAAAGGTGGTTAAGGGTTGAAAAAACAACTAAAGGGATGATGCCAGTTTAACGCTTTTGCAGAAAACACCGCCACCACAGCCATAAATTCGGCAAACAAAAAACGGGGCCGCTGCCCAGTGATCATGAGATCTGGAAAAGAGCTCGTTAGGAAACGAAATTAGCACACGCCTGTGTTGTCCAGAAAAAGACACACAGATGTGATTAAAAAAACAAACACACCCCCTTCTCTGTCAGGCGTACTCCATGTTCTATCACTCTCCCGACCTTTGATGTACGCTCCTTACCACTTCCTCAGTTAGCAAGCGTTACCTGTACTAACCCGGGACGTCACGCCAAGAAGCGCAAGAGGGAGCGTGCGACTCGTCAATGTTGCCGAAATCATGTATAAACATTGATAGAGTCTGCGTTTGACATTGACATAAACAACCAAGGAACGAGTGGTTGCTTGGTTTTCTAATTGAGGAGGAGAATAAAATGCCGTCTCTTGCTTCAAGATGTAACAATTTCCCACTATACTTCAAAAAACAGTCTGTCCCCACCTCCCGACATGGAAAAGAGTTGTCTGGATTATGAGCAATCAGCTTGCTAGGTGAGAGAATGATCATATCTGAGGCTTCTCAATGAGATACAGTTTGTGCAGATCGAGGGAAGAGATCCATCTGGGGAGGACGTGCTAATGGACGTCAGTGTGTGTCTTCGGTCCTTCTTCTTATTGCTTCAGTGTAATCGTTTCCTCGATCATGTCGAGTAAATGAGCATGTTCTCATCACCGTCCTGTCACAGCTGAAAAAGGTTAATTGGTTAAATAGTTACATATCATGGCTTCAGGAAATGTCCGTTACAGTAACTTCCTCCGCTTGAATTACACATCAATTGTATCTGTGAGAGGCTGGTTGGATCCAGGCAAGCCCACTTCCCTCTGCTGAGATACACACTGATTAAATGGGTTTGCTTCCATTTTCTTACCATCCTTCCTTCTTTCCTTCCCCTGCTTTCTTGTTTCCTTGGATATTTGCCACAGACTCACAACCATTACAACATTTTCTTTCTTTCAATAGCCAATCAATAAAGTTAAAAACCCTTAATATTTTAATCATTTTCAACATGTTATAATTTTTTTTGTTAGCCTTTCATCGCTGTATATTCAATCTAAAGATTTTGAAAAACTGACCCCAGTCACACCTCACTCGACCGATAACTCTCTTGTATAACCTCCCACGACAGTTCGTCATAAACTTTAATTGGTTCTTTGACCTGACCTATATTACGTTTTGTCCTTCATGGATCCGACAACCTATTAAAACGCAACCTCTTCTCTAGGCGTCCGTGAAGGTCCTTAGCATACTTGTATTTTAAACTGTAAAATTTAAAAATATAACCTTGAATCCATGTAACCTTCTCTATTTACTGTAAAATCCACATTTGACACCAATTATTAATAATGTCAAGCTAACCAACAAACATCCTCTCAGCTAGCTTTGAACTGTGCATGTGGATTACATTGGGAATTGTCCATTAGCAAACACCGGTTAGCAGTCTGAAGTAAGCGGATCAGCCGTCTTCTGTAAAGCGAAGCTGTCAGTGTGTGAAGCTAGCTAAGTTAGCCTAGCTTTATGATGGAATTGTAGATATGCATCAAAAACCAGAAGAAAATGTTTGTATTACA